ATATTTTTCGTAAGTTTTGCTTGGCCAAAAAGACGTTTTTTCGATTCTGCTACACTAAAAAGTCTTAAAGATACTTTAATTACTTTTAAGCCAAGAAACAGTTTATTAGTTTCTATAAATATCCCTAGCTAAAAAGGCGTTTAATAATATTACTACACTAAAAGGACGTTAACATCTACTAACGACGTTTTAGCATAGGACTCGTACAATAATAATCAAGAAATACTTTTCTTACACCTCTAACCACCTTTAGTTACTCATTATATGGTATAAATACTCCGCTTAAAAGACACTAAGCCAAAATACTTGGCTAAAAAGACGCTACGTGCTCTCGCCTCTCACCCCCGCGCAGTTGTGGCCCTAGTCTCTATCGTCGTCTTCGCATGTCATTCGTGGAGCGGAAGGTTTCCCGCCATATTTACAATGACTGACCAAATACCCAGGTAAGTAAATACTATTTTAAAGTAGTTATTGCAGTAAATAAATAATTTATGGGTCTCATAAGCGCAAAGCTTCAAAATGGTGCCCGGGAACGAAGACGTTTATAACGTTCTACCATGCGCCATGCCAAATACCTACTTACCTACCAAATAGCTATCGCGGTCGACCGTGGGTTTGCCGCCATAATTTTTGCATGATCTTAGATGTAAGTTAATTATTGATTAGGCAGCTTATAGTAGACGGAATTATTCAAATTGGGCTATTTTATTTTGCTGGCTTATTATTATGTCTGCGTCCTATGCCGATCTGGCGGTCCAGACTACGTACTCAAAGGTTAAGGATTCGAATATCGCATGGCCAAAACGTGAATATGATACTTTGAACTTGTTATTGGTTTAAGTTTCTCTTTCTTTAGGTGTATTGTGTGCACAGAAATAAATGAAAAATATAGATATTTGTTCTTAAAACATCGTTTATATATACATTATACAGTTTCAAATTTGCCATAATAATAAAGTGATGGTTAGTTTATAGCTAGATCATTTCATTGGCGTGAACATTGACCAGATCAGACTAACGAGTTTGAGCTTTATCTGTCGCTCGGTGTGTACGCACGGCCATACTCCATGACTTCCCAAGTGTTTGACAAATTCTGCGAGACTCAAACCACATTACGTTCTCACTACTTTCAAGATCTAGCAATACATGTAGATAACTTGAACGAGACCTTTTCTTCACGTAATACCGCCTGTGAATTACCTTCACCAAGTAAACCACGTATGCTTGAACTCAAGGATTTGACTTGTTATGAAAAAATGCCGTCTATATCTGAAGAACAACAACTGTGTGAAACTAATAATTTAAGAAGTCCGGCTGCACACTTTACCAATAGTTTTATGCCAGAATTACCATTGCCAAAATTAAATAGTCAGTTATCCCTTGATTTCGATTCTGATGACTCAGTTCGCGACAAGGACTATGTTCCCAACTCAAGTGATGATTCTGATGAAGACTTTTCCACTACATCTTCAAGTCAAAAGGTTTTGGTCAAAAGTAACTTACAGGCATCAACATCAGCCAGACATGCACCTCTCCAGCTACAGCAACCGGTCAAAACCATTTATAATATTATTTTGTCAAAGAAAAGACTTGATACTGTCAATGAAGCAATACACAAGAGTATAATTAAAAATTCCGACTGCATGTCATCTAAAAACTGTCATTTAATGCCGGTCGATTGTCCATTAATAACAGCAAAGTAATAGTACAGTCTCTCAAACCAGAAAACTTCATAAACATTCCAAATTTGATATCAGGTAGGCGTATTCAAAAATCCAACCCTAGAGCATATTTAAAAAACATGGTACAGGTAACATTTAAACGAAACGATTTTGACCTTTATTATAAAAATAACTTCGACGACGAATTTACTGCATTGCGTTTCATGAACGATAAATACCTGAAAAGTCCTCATATCATGAGTATTTCTTATCGTTCAACACCAAAAGGGATTGACTCTTCGAGAAAATCTACCATCATAGATAAGTTAGCTGCCATAATTCCTCCACACAAACTAACATTTTGGAACAATTTACCAGTAATTGATGTAGGAAATACAAATGAGACTGACAAATAATATATCATTAAGTAACTAAAAGACTGATTCAAGTGCCATTTTTTAATTTTAAGTAATAATTGGTTTAGAATATTATAACGTTAGACATTAAAAATGTCAAATATTCATAATAATTTTGTTTAATTGTTTTGAAAGGTTTTGTTAATTTTTATTCAGGTGTTTTAATTTTCCAAGCCAGGATCTCATTTTATGTTTTAAACATCCTCTTATTTTTAAGTTTTATAAAATGTTAATAAACGAATTGAAAATATTTTGGTTTTTGTTTTCGAATATTCAGTCCTTAATGCATAACTAAAAAGCAGTTAAGATAAAAGTTTTAACGGTTAACGACCTTTAAGCGTAGTAAGTATGAAAGATAATGTTCCTAAAAAGACACTAAATTCAAAAAACTTACCTATATGGACACTAAAATACTATAGTTGTAATATAGCTAAGACTGAATACTAAATGGAAATCGGAAATACATAAATATAAAGCCGCTAAGTAACTAAATGCCTTTTTAGCTAAGTAATTTTGAATAGTTTTTGTACACAAAAATAAAACACTTCAAGTATGTCGAAATCATAAGCTATAAAGTCGCTGAGGTGTACTTAGTGCCTTTTTAGGTAAGTATTTATTTAAAAATAACCAAGTTATGCACTGCTGAAAGGGAAAAGGTGTTTTTTTTATATTTAAAACAAATTGTATTTAAACAAGGTTATGGCTATTAGTTTGTAAATTTAAAAAGCTATCTTTGAACGTTTAATATAATGTTTTACGACCAATGGTTTTCAAGTGGCATAGTTTTGAAATATTTACCGCGTTTTTCACTCATATCTCAAAATTTGATTTTGTGGCTTTGCGCCCTTTAAGTTAACGGACGGCAGTGCTGTCTTCCATTATAACAACAGTACTTCCCTGTACAACTACCTAAGATATGATTCAAGCAGTAACATGTAGCATTTTCCACAATTCTGCACAAGTTGTTAACTTGTGGTGAATGGTGCATATTAGAAGAGAAATATGTTTTTCATCAACATACAGCAGTTCTCCTGTTCTGATTTTAATCTTTATTCTTTGGATTACATTACTTTGATAAAAGATGTAAAATTTCAGCTGAATTCACAGCTAAACCTGAACACATAAAAAAATTTCAGCTCCATCGGCTAAAGATTTGTGATTCAAAATTCAGTTGCAAGATGCCACTTCAAATGCAATACATAAAGTTTGTTAATGTATTGACCTCTCTCAAGTGTAAACATAACAAATAATGCCTGATAACATAAGAATACAAACAATGTTAATATTAGTTAACTTGTTAATAGTTAATGTATTTTGCTTTGTAACAAACGACACCAACAACTTATAGTTGAAACTTGGTTCAATTTTACTGCTGCTGTAATATGCTTATCATCAACCCATTAACTTTAACTGTAACTTTTAACAGTAATCGATAAGCATATTCAGCATTCATATGTTGGATATTGATCAGTATTCATACTCATGACTTCGTACAACATATTCAAAAGCACAAACGTTTCACAAACTAATCCTTCACATTACTCTAAATACAACCAATGGTAACCCATGCATTGAGCCTTGGACTTAGCTTTTAAGCAGTTGCCGTTGTAAAACATTTACTCATTTTTATTTCAATAATTCAAACTTTATATTCTTAGTATCTTACTGCTTCATACCAGGTCTGCTGTCTATATTGTTGATCAAAAAAATTAGCAGATAAAGAATACTAAATATAAAAGTAAGATTAGATCTCACCAGCCTGGTCATTGAATGTATTGCTTCTACAACACAGTGAGCCAAGCTTGCATAGCAGTCCAAGCGAAGTCAATTCACCTACTGCCACCAACCATCGACGCTCAGCTACTGCCGCAGTCATGAACTGTAGCTGTAGCGACGTCAGCACAGGCAGGCGCACCGGTGTTGAGCTCACGTTTCCTCACCAGCAATTGGCAGCATCACTCCTCCATGCAGTCAAACAAATCAAAATTTAGTGTTTCAGTTCACTTTACACAAGCCATGTTAGCAGAATCGCCTAAGAATATTAGCAGAATCACTTCAGTACCTACGTGACATTCATTGTCTCTCCTTACTGTTTGTAACAGTAAAGGACATAGGTAGGTATAACAAATTACAATGACAGAACTTGAGATTGTTAAAGATTTTAACTTAAAAGAAAATTAGTAGGAATAGTTTAAACATTGAGTTCACAATTTTATTTATTTGTAGCTTACACGTACAAATACACAAAAGCATTATAGCTTTTCAAACGGGAATTGGAACGTACTCACCGTAAGTTTCAGTCATAGTTATACGTTACCGCAATTTGCCACAATACCTCGATCACAACGTACCTACTAAGTACATGAACACGAACTTACATAAAACAAATGAAAAACTTTGAATAGTCAATTTGCCGTATCATGTAAGTATTATCTACATAGAAAGTCAGAACGCATGGAAAATAATCGTATCCCACTTCTGATATTAGGAAACTTAAAAACTGTCATAGAGTTCACCTTACTCTTTGATATTAGTAACTTATTTGTTTTATACCACATTGGATTTTAGAAACTCAGGAGGCAGGAGAAATAAAGTGTACCACCATTACAATTCATGAATTCACCTTATATATTGTTAACATCGAAATCAAATTACAAATTCAGAACTAGCTAAACCATAATTATTAATTGGAAAGAAAAACAACAACAATAACACATGAATAGGCAAATTGACTTTCAAATAGAATAAAATTCCCTCAACACCAAATACGCCGTCTCAATAATTTCCGAGTTCCCGCCATCTTGACTTTTTCATTGTTCGAACCACAGATTATATTTTCCCGCTACGCGATGACATTTCGTTCCTTTTTGTCTATGCTTCTAACACTATTTTACGTCTGTGTCACTTTTAAGTTGTAACTTTGACAGAACTCATTTGAGACCTGTCAAATTTACTTAATCACATTTACTGTCATTCTCAAAATTTTGATTTCACTCAAAGAGTATAATAAGTATAGGGGTACTTTTCGGTTCTGCAATCAGCACCAAAGAGTATAGTAAGGTAGTGATCACTGTATTTTATTACATATGTAGGTAATGAATATTTTTAGAAACGGATAAAATATATTGTCAACCGCTTCATGCAGTCAAAAGTGCCTATCTTAATTTTACTTTTGTGTTTTATTCCTGTTTGAGTAAGATAAACACCAAAATGCCGAAGAAATTTGCTGGTGAAAACAGCAAAGCTGTAGCTGCACGGCAACGAAAAGAAAATGAAAAGCAAGAAAAGGAACAAAAGATGAAGAAAATGATGGAAGATGCAGAGTGGGAGGATAACGACGAGAAACTTAAGAAGAAACAACAGAAGAAGGTACACCTCATTGTAGGAAATAGTAAGAATACTGAAGTTAGATTGTGTCTATTTCATATTTATTATACATATTTTTTCATTAGGTATGTTCTGATTTGATAATAGAAAAAATCAAATCATAACCAAAAAGTTTATATTTGTATCCATTCTTTTTTTATCAGGAGGACCAGGAGAAGAAGCGTTTAGAACAGCTACAGAAAAAAGCAGAAGCAAAGGCTTTGCTAGAGAAAGAGATGCAATCAATAAAGGCAACTCCCAAGGCTGCCCCTCCACCTCCTAAGATCACACGAGCACAGATTGAAAGGATGCAAGAGAAAACCATTAAAGCAGAGCCAGTCAAATCAGTGGTAATAAGCACATTGACATTTGTTCTTTTTTATGCATGCTGGGCCTACATTTGGCCACTATCTCACCATATCTGCCCATATCCCATAAGCAACCCATTCACTCGGGCCATGAAGATAACCATTGTCTGCATATTCTCAGCATATTGTTATGTTTGTTCCTTTTTTATTTTATATTTGTCTATTCCAGCCATCAAAAGTGGTTGTGGAAGAGCCTCCACTCGAGGAGAATCTCAACAGGATCCATTTGGATGGAGAAGTGGCACAGACTGTTGATGAAGCTATTTCTATACTTGGGTATGTATTACAGACCACCTTCTCCCGTGCAGTGTCACCTCGTCTACTCGGCTCCTCTTGTTTGTAGCATGATGTTTTATAGACTATAGCTCTCCTTGGTACATGATGACATGAGTCATCACATTGTTTACAGCAATAGGCTCACCATCGTATTACATGTGTATTGCAACATAGGAGCAAATAGCTTCACTTTTAAATTTCTATTGCTGACGTTCAAAAGTGCCTTCCTGGTCTAATTGAAATAAATTATTTTTGACTTTTTTGAGCTCTCAGCTCACAGAATTGCAAATACAAGGTGACAAATCATGTCAATTTTGTTATTTGTAAACACGGAATTTAGAATACAATGGAAGTAGCTTGAAACAATATTTCTGCCAGAACCGGTGTCGCCAAACTAATACATTTATAATTTACTCATACTATAAATCGGAAGTTGCGATTGGTTAGAAAAAAAATGGGCGTAAACGAAATGCAAAAAAAATATCATACGATATGCAACTTTAAAATCAATGCACTATAAATCAAAATAAAAAAGTATATTTTGGACTACCAAGTACCGCCATTCGTCGCTAGATGGCGTTTAGCAATGCCATCTAGCGACGAAAAGTGGTACTTGGTTTGAACTTTAACGTCATAAGAATAAAGGTGATATTTGAATGGCGTATCACTGACTCGAATGCGGGTATCTACTCAGATAGTGATGTAGCCTAATTCGATAAAAATAATATCGATAATATGAAAATGTGTTTTAAAAATAATGTGAAAAAAATATTGACTGCGATAGTGTGACAGTATTAAAATAATAAAATTAATATGTCGTTGATAACTTTTTAAACGTAACAAAAAAGGGTAAGTATTTATTTGCATGTAAATTAAAAATCATTTTGTTCGTATTTTTTATTAGTTTCTTTTTTCAAAAAAACATTTTTTTTTTATTTCACATAGGCAATATATGTTACATAAATTAACTATTAACTATTACATAAATTTTTACAAACTTTATATGGATAATGTGATAAATGAGAGGAATGGCGATAAGGATGACGGTGCTGATCTGCTCCGTGAAGTGAAGGTTGCTTCCAATCACGTCGGGGTCACCACTAAAATAATAATAATAAAAAATAATCTAAATAAATGTTACATTACACTTGCATCGATATCAATCGATAAATTCAATATGTGATTTGACTACATCACTATTTGAGTAGCGTAGAACTGGCGAGAATGTTCTATTGAATGGAATAAATCCAAAATAAACTTTATCTTGAAGGCGTAAGGTTGATTTTGACTAACCATTTTAGTAAATAATATTATTTTAATAACCGTTTTTGTAAATTGAAATAAAGATTTCTACAAGAAAACAATGAAAATTGTACTTACCGATGATACGAAACACCTCCATTTTTACGATTTTTCGGCTGCTATCAATTTTACACGGCAAAACGGAACAAAACGGCATAGTTGAGGAAATATGTATTTGTCACGAGACTAGAAACTCGACGCCATATTCGAATGAGACTGAACTCGAATTTGCCTCGAGTACGCAGTACACGGCTCAGTTGTGGCACGCGTGCCACGCCTACTTGCTACTTCCATTGTATTCTATATTCCGTGTTTGTAAACATGTCTAATAGCTCATCTCATCATAATATACCGAGGAAACCTATAGGCTATAAAACATTATGCTATAAATTTATGCTATTATGCTATAAATAGGAACCATTATTGAGAATATTTATTTATATAACACCCCCAATTATATTTTGATCCATGTGAGAATAAAACCCACTGAACTAATGAGGTAGTATTTACTAAGAAATAACAATGTACTTTTTTTTTAACGTTGCCCCACACTAGGATTTTCTCCTGTGTCGTGGGTGTGTTTACAAACATACAAGTTCACATATACATGACACCCAGACCCGGAACAACAATTTGTGGATCACACAGTGTTGTTCCGTGCGGGAATCGAACCCGCGACACGTTGCACGGCAACCGGTTGCCCAGCCACCGTAGCAACCATGCAGTCAAGTATAGAAATAAATTGTCGATATGTTTGTCAGTTATGTACTTATCTAACTAAAAGTTGAATAAATATTGATGCTGTTCTAACTAATGGCAGTTACAAACATAATTTAAAATGTTTCAGTGAAAAGTCAGATACAGATAGGCATCCTGAAAAACGTCTGAAGGCAGCATACACAGCATTTGAAGAAGCGAACTTGCCAATACTGAAGGCTGAGAATCCAACACTGAGGTTGTCACAACTCAAACAGATGCTGAGGAAAGAATGGCTCAAGTCACCACAGAACCCATTGAACATGAAAGTGTGAAGACCTCTAACAATATTTATTATAAATGCTTTAATAATATTAATTTGCTCTGTACCAGGTATTGCAGGTGGTGCAAGTTCATGGTTTTGTTGCAGTAGTAAGACACTTAATGGGTTCATAAAGTTTCAGTTGTATTCCATATTAATATTTAATTACACATATCCAGTAGGTAAATGATGTTTGCTATATATAAGTTGGTAATTTCATAATTTAGTATATGTTTATAAATTACACAATTTGTTTATAATAATTACTAACTTATATTCAAAATGCAGTCTTACTCCATAGGACAAATTGTACTAGAATAACACAGGCATTGTAAATACATAATATAAATTTCTAAATTCATTTTGGTTCATCATTGTATTGGATGGGTATCCCCTTGCGACCCTGTTCAGCCATTTTCACTTCTGTTTCGCCTAGTTTTTGCTCTAGACCCTTCCAGGACCTATCTTGGAGGTTTTGTCCTATATTTTCGAGGGCCCAGTTCTGTTTTTCTGCCAGATCTGTACTACTTCCCTGAAGACTATCAACTTTAGTCTCCCTTATCTTTCCTGTGATGAGACTTATATCTGTGGTTTCCTGGATGTGGTTGATATCACAGTGGTGGCGTCGCCCTGGCAGCAATTGGTCATAATCCGTAATATGAGTTACGAAATAAGCTTCTCTGTTTGAGTTTAAAGCCACTTCCAGTTCGTAAGGGTACACAATAGGTTTATAGAAGTCTCTAGCACTGTACAGATCATTTTCTGGACATGCAATCATCACATATATATCAATCTGTAAAGGCGACACAAATCAAAACATTTAAATACATATAAATATGCCTGTAGATCTTCAAAGCAGTGGACAGAGATGCTTTTTCTAATGTAACACTCACTTTTCACCAGTTATAAATTCCATGGAATAAAATAATTGCCTATTTTTACAAATGGAATAAAAAGGCTAAAATGTAACAATTACTATAAATAATAACCAAGGACTTACTTCAGGAAAATTGGCCAATTTTGGAACATTAGGCTTCCCCACAGATACAATGTAGCTTTTCTTGCCATTAACTTTGCAGAGCTGCTTCATTCTGCTGATAATGTCCTTGGTCTGGTCACCAGCCAGCTTACAAACCAGAATGCCCACAACATTGGCATCCTTGCACTTCTCTACTAAGAATCTTCTTCGCTTGAACCAAGCAGTTTCTTCTGAACTCTCAATCTGGTTTGTGTTAGGATCCAGCAAATACCATTGTGATGCTTTGGAAATAAAAATATGAATTAAGAAAACTATTCAGTAAATAAGCTTACATGTCAGGCAGCCTTTACATGTCTAAATGGTTGAGGGTACCTGCAATAGATATGGTGTAGTTGAATAGTGTTTGTCCCCGTGTTCCAAGATGTATACAAATGCAATCCTTCAAAACATCCACTGCCAAGTCTTCACCATCTTTGTTCCTAATTATTCTTCCTAAGAACCTGTTTGGTTTCTCTTCTATCTCGACAAAAGATATGTAGCTAAGTGGGAAGGATTCAAAGCAGTGTTTTGACATTAAATCTGGAAAAAATTAACTTTGTAAAGAATATAAAGGAAACAATCTGTCTATTTGTTTTCTTACAGGATCCTACTGGAGTGAATCAATTTGCATGATTGAATGTTTTTTTTAAGGGGGGAAAATCATCGAATGACTGCTCCCGCCTGGGTAATGCGGAAGGGAGTGTCAGACTCTTACTGACTAAAAACCACCCTGTTCGTTCTCCTGCACGTCGAGCCGGAGGCCCGGTTGACATGGTGGCCATGTTAGACAGTTTTTATAACAAAAAAGAGACTATACTCGGAATTTTAATTCGATTCCAGATTTGACAATTTCAGTGTGGCAACGTTATGACAAGTACTAAATAGTGACGTTGCGAAATTATTCGATATGGAAATGAAATATTTCTGGATCGATTCTTCTCGTTTATAATAATTATAATTTTACTCTTGTGAACTAAGTTTATCAGGAAATTAAATATTTCTGAACCGATAATTTAGTTTTGACGATTAATTAACGATCTGAGACGTTTCTTTTATAATGTGTGTGAAATAAATAAAAAAATGTAGGTAATCATGAAGGAACATGACAAATAAAACAGATAGATGTATTATGGTAATAAGTTATTTTATAAATTGTCGCCGTCATCGCTATCGCTATCCTGTCACTTTCTGTAACATTTATTATAAAACACACACACTGACTGTTTATCGATTTTTGTGTGCATCACTACACTATTATATGTGGTATCATTATTTCACAAAATGACAGTAGCTATTGTCAAATCTGGAATCTAATTAAAATTCTGACTATAGTTGTACTCTAGTATCCACTTCCTGTTATTCAATATCTTCCATACCTTTGCAATGTTCAAATCCAGCATCATAAAACAAGCACAGCTTGGCATCTGCATTAAAGCTATCTTTCAGTACTTTGATAGTAGCTTCCACATCCACATTGTATTTGGGTAGCACGGTGAACACAGGAATGTTGGTTGTAGAGAAACAACTGTGTCCATAGTGGACTACTGCACTGCCTTGTACATGCATAGCTGCCACAGAGTCTACACAGCAACTGTAATAAAAGGAATGTTAATTTATACATAACAAGAGCCTACAATTTATCATTAATATGTGGTATATGATACAAATTAGAAAGAATGATGATTATATTATTATAGGTCTTCTCTTACCTACCTTGCATAAGATGTGTCACCAAGAATGTACAAGTCAACCTCCACTTTCTTCTTTATTTCTTCATAAATCTTAGTACTCACATTAAGAAGTTCATCAGGAAATTGAAGGCAAACCTGTTCAACACGCAAATACCCAATTATAATTTTTTTTATTGCTTATTTCATTCATTGCAACAACTGTGAAATTGATGGTTTACCAACCTTTAAGAAATTATTTTTAGTTATCCATCCGCATGTTTCGTTTATATCAAAACGAGTTATCAAATCATCGAATTCTTTTTCACACCTGTACACTTCCAACTTCCGTTCTATGCACAATTTTCCATCTGTAGTAAAATTAGCCATTGTTTCGATACAATAATAATACTTCTCACACCTTGTTTTTGCAAGTTTTACATCATATTCATAATATTTCAATTCACAGTCAGTAACATCGAAACAGAATTACAGAAATGACATTTATTTTGCCAAGCTGTCACTGTCAAACTATGATTGTCAGATTGTCACAGAGAAGCAGAAACGTTCCATTACCTTCACCAATGGATACCTTAAGTTTTCGCATTTCAAAGTGCAGGAGTAGGAACAGGGTCGTTTTTAGTCAGTAAGTCAATAAGAGTCTGACACTCCCTCTCGCGGGAAAAGTCATTGGATGATTTCCCCCTCAAAAAAAAAACTAGTTTTCGCATTTACCTTGATTCGTCACTTACCTTGAATACTGAGACTAGAACGTAATGTGCAAAAAGCAATGTGCGTTGCGATGTCATCTAAACACCACAGCAACGATTTCACAAATCTTTATTTTCTTTTTTTTATAAAAACGACAATGAAAACTATTGGTAGGTAATATGGCACCATACAAACACCCTATTTTCACTATTTAAATATGTTATGAGTCCAATGTAATAGAGGTGAGTCTATTGCCACATACCGCCCACCGGGCACAATTACAGACTCCGTGCTACTACTGAATTAAAAAAAAACCAGTAATATTTTGAATTTAAACAGTCGCACTTGGGACCACTCGACCAACTAGGCAGTCAGTACTGTCAGTAATTTTTTATAAGATGTGGGTCGCCCGGTGTTTGGCAATGTCACCTGGTGGTAATTTAGAATGAATACTGTTTTTTCTAAATAAAATAGGAGGAAAAAATGCAACAAACTGTTATTAATAATGCATTTACTGTACAGGTGTAAATAATAAATAGGTTGATGAAAAAATTCCAGTAAACTTTAATATCCTTCATCACTGACTGTGATGCTATAGCCAGGGTAGACTTTCTTGATTAATTTAGCCGCCATGTCATGGTCTGCCTTGCCGTAGCCTTGGGAGTAGCCATAAATATGTATCTTTTTATTTTCAGGGTCATGAGATATTCTTCCTCCTCCAAGAGGTTCACAGTCTAAGGGCTGTAGTCTTTCTTGGACCTGTAATAATTTTCAATAAGTTATGAGCAATAGATATATCAATAAACTATTTATTTATTCAACAATATTAGTTGGGATTACCCAATGTGTTCTATTATATCTAACATAACTAGTGTCTAGCCGAAGCTTCGCCTTCGGGTTCGGCATTTCTTTTTTTTTTTTTAAGGGGGGAAAATCATCGAATGACTTCTCCCGCCTGAGTGAGGCAGAAGGGAGTGTCGGACTCTTACTGACTAAAAACCACCCCGTTCCTTCTCCTGCACGTCGAGCCGGAGCCCCGGTTACCCGTTAGGTTCTCCGCGACTCCGAATCGGCATCGGCCCTATTGGGCCCCATCTGTGGTGGTCTGATAGCTCTTTGAGGCGCGCGCGGAACGCGACGCGCCGTACGCTCGGGTTCGGGTTCGGCATAGGCATCGGCCACCTTCGGCCAAAAAAACCATCTTCGGCGAAACCTTCAGCTTTCGTTCCGGTTTCGCCGATGTCAGATTGACCGAATTGTTACAAATATGCTTAGTAAAATAGAGCACCTACAGAATACTATTCTTATAACTTGTTTGCAAAAGTCATTACCTCATTAGTTTTACTGTTATTGTTATATTGATTTTTCTAAATGGTGCATTTATTGAACAAATTTAGTTATTTAAGAAGTTAGTGTTTTGTAATAATCATAACTGTTTAGTTAAGTTAGTGTTTATATCACGAAACAAAAAAAATCTTTTCTGTTCTGTGGTTTATTTTATTTCTGAGTTTAGTTTCGGTCTAGTCCAGTAAAACAAAGACTGATCTATTGTCTAATGTTGTCTGTCTAAATTCACAAATTGTACACAATTAAAGAACAATAGGTTGCGGTCACCAGTGTCCTCGCGTTGTTTGACATTTTAATCAAGAAATAATTATTATTTACAAATGAATTGCAAACTTTCAGTACCATCTTTAATTCAACTTATTACTATAATTTTCATCAACTGTTCATGTAATTGCCGCATTTCTGTGAATGTAATATCGTGAAATTTTGTACAATAAACTTTTATTTTTTATAATATGGGCCAGTCAATAAAAGACACTAATATTGAATTTTTAGATACTTTTTAACCAACTTACAAAAAAGGAGGTGTTCAGTTTGACCTGTATGTATGTTTGTGCGTGATTGGTTGAACAAATTTTGACATGGTTTTTTGTTAGACTTAAGAAGGCCTAACCATGGCTGTGTACCTTTTGACCAAAAGTAGTGTTATCTGTGGCAGACGTGCAGTTGAAAATTGCTGATAATCATCCCCTAAATTTGTTTATACAAAAGTAGTCTCTAAACATTGGAAATAAGGTCTATAATGTAGTTAGTGGAGAGCGGTCACCGGTGACTGCCGGTGCATGTGCCGCCTATACATGTAACAAACTTACAGCTCAACCTAACAAAACAATATTAATATACAAAGAACCCTAGGACAGAATTTGATGAGCTTCGGTGGCATAGTGAACCATGCCTGTGATAACATTCAAATAGAAGTACCCAGAACTGTGGTGGATGTGGGTGTATCACCCGTACATTATTGCAAACTATACTTTATTTACTTATTTTGAGCCCTGATCATCCCACTATAGGACAAATGCCTCCCCATCTTACTTCGACTTTCTCTGTGTCAAACTTTTTGTAGCCAATACTTGTCATAGACATACATACATCATTCTTTTTTTTATCACATGCTGCCCCATACTAAGATATTCTCCTAAGTCGTAGGTTAGGTTACAAACACGTTACTTCACATTCACACGCAATTCACAGCAGAATACTAGCGATAGCACTGCTTCTTAAATGTGTATTAAAACTGTTGTCGTAATTCTTACCTCATCATAAATATCAGAATGGTAATTGCATCGCTTATAGCCACGGACAATAAGTACAGGTTCGACATTAACTTTTGTTTTATCATATACATTTAACATTATGTATTTGAAGACTCCAGTGGGATCTATGTCTACTTTGGGTAAAGCTTCTAATGCTGTTGACATTTTCTTAAGACAACCGTTGATTGAAACTGAAAAAAGACAGCAAATAATTTAATTACAAATATTTAGGTTAGTTTGTAATACAACACAAACGAAAGTGTAAGATTCAATTTACCTCTTTGAATAATTTTTAAGTTAGTTGATGATAACAAATTCCAGGTAATAGATGTGATAAGCATTGGATCGAAATTATTTTATTATATGTCATCAATAATCGATGAAATGATGAAATTATAATTATTCTAAATATAAAAGTGTAATGTAAAAATGAAAACCATTTTTTTTACGAATGACACCAAAGCAAAGAGTATTACCTGAAGGTTTATGGGAAACTGCAGAATCTGGCAGACAGAAGAATCCGAATTCCGAAACTGTCAGCTGACAGCTCAAATGTCAAAGACAATAAGGATTTTTAAGGGGATCTTTTACTTTCTTGAAGTACCTACCTACATAATACGTAGGTACTTCCAAGTAAGGATAAATTGACGTTGTACAATCAGACGAACATGGTACCACCTCCTTTTTTTGAAACCGCTAATAAAAAAGGGCAATATAAAAAAAAAAAAATTATTCGCGTGTTACTCCGCCATTTGAGAACTGATTTCCAAAATTCTTGTTTTGTTTGCAAAGGTACCTATACTCCCGAAATGGTCCCACTTCCATGATCTGATGATGGGATCCTAGGGAAACCGAGGGGAACTTTCGAAAATTGTAAAATTGTAGGGGCGAGTAACGCGTCAGTTAGATAAGGATCTGGAGTCGACCTGATGATGGAGCCGACAGACAGTCGAGAGAGCGAGTCTCCTCAGCGGTTTATATTAACTACCTTGTGTTAGTACCAGTAGTAGTTAATCCTTACTTTCCTTACTTCCTTATCCTTACTTCCTTACTTATATTATAAATCGGAAAGTGAGTTTGTTTGTTTGTTCCACCTTCACGCCATAACTACTAAACCGATTGCTTTGAAATTTTGCAGATGTAAAGTTAGAAGTCTGGATTAAATAATATGGTACTTTTTATCCCGGAAAAAATGATATTTCCTAGGAAAAACAAAAAGATAGATGGCGTTGTATGTCATTAAACCAATCATCGCCGGTGTGCCAGCTGTTCTGGAACCAAAGGGTTTGGCATGCGACGATGGTAAGAGACCCGACGGTACGTCCATTATGCCATGGAAGCTGGGAAGGTCTTTGGTGTGGGACGCAACCTGCGTCGACACCCTTGCACCTTCTCATCTTCCAATAACGGCGGGTTGTGCTGGTTCGGCTGCTGCCTCTGCAGAAAGCCTCAAGCGGCGCAAATATTACAACCTTGCTAGTAGTTATATCTATGAGCCGTTTGGGGTTGAGACGCTAGGTCCGTGGGGTCCGAGTGCACTTAAATTATTCAAAAATATTTTAAAACGCCTGGTTGACACATCTCGTGACCAGAGGGCTGGTCTTTTTCTCGGTCAGAGGTTAAGCATTGCCATGCCATACAACGTGGCAATGCTGCCAGCCTTCTTGGTACTTTCCCCACTGACGTCGATGCGGACGAATTTTTCGACGCTTTATGTAAATAGTTGTTTTTATTTTTTTCTTATAATGAATTTTAATCTTTAGTTGTATATAGGTATTTAATTTAGTAATATTTAGTTTTAATTTTTTTTAAGTTATAGTTAGTTTTTAATTTATGTTTTTTATTTGAATAAATGAGTTGTCAACGAATTATCTACTTACTTGGAAAAATGTAAATAGCGCGATATAACCGAATTTCACGCGAGCGGAAAAGCTATTTGTTTGTTTGCCTGTCTTAAACGGCAGAACGGAGGTACTAATTAACGTGATTTTTTTAACCGAAGGTAGTTGAACGGATGGATAGTCACATAAGCTACTTTTTATCCTTTTGTGACGCTAGCGAAGCCGCGGGTAACAGCTAGTAGTAATTTATAAATGTCATTTATTCAAATAAAAACTTAAATAAAATTAAAACGAACTATTTCTTTATTAGACAACTAATAGTTAATAGTTAATTTATGGAGAAGATCATAAAGATCTATGGTCTTTTGGTCTCCTCTATCTATCTAGCCTATGGTCTTGGTTTATACTCTATGGTTAATGACCTAATATTGGCCTATCGTGTCTGTGCCTATGGTATGGTCTATGGTTATTGTTTAATACTTTAATGTTTTGGGGGCTGGATTATATCAAGTATTTTAGATGATACAAAATAATAGAGTAAATTTAGCTATTGATTAGATCTATGATGTGTGCTGCGGTTGCGAAAATGGATTCCAACTTGACAAGTAAGTACTATTTAGTAAAATTTACGTACATTTGTACCATTCCAAAAATAAAACACTCCAAGGTTATAATACGGATCCAGCCAGACGAATAAAATTTACCACGAAACGAATATCCTATTTGTTTTGCCTACGCTTTGTGTTCTGCCTACTAAATGTTAGAAGGTTACCAAACAATAGATAATAAAACAATAATATTAAAATAAGTATTTCGAATATCGTAGTAAACTTAAACCAATATTTTTGTGATTTTGTTGTCATGATCTTTACTTTCGCTTACGTCTCCCGGGTTATGGTAATACATATGTACACGAACCGAAATTTCATGTTTTTTTATGCAACTCTTTCTCCATTTCTTTCTCACAAAATCATACGATGAATGAACTAACCATGTTTGTTTGCGAAGGTTCTCATTGCTGCTTAATTGAACAGGTATGTGGGTAAACTTCTTCACGGCGGCTGGTATTCCGTCGGACGTGTCTGCAACTTACGCGCTCACGTTCACGGAGAACCGCATCCAGAGTGACATGCTCCTGGATCTCAACAAGGAGTACTTGCGAGACATGGGGATTTCTAGAATGGGAGATGTTATCGCCATATTGAGGTTAGTGCTCAATGATTATTTTCGTTCTCCTTTCTGTATGCGGTTAGTGCCTTGTATAATATACAGGGTAACTTGTAACTCGACGTATTCCTCTCGAGAGGTGATAATACAACTAATTTCATACAAAAGTAGCCCTGAGGTCTCTGGTCCGAAAGTGACTAGGTAGTCTCTGAGATATTCAACATTTACGGTTTTGGTTAAAATCCCGATCAAACTTAAAAATAAAATAAAAAACTACTTGTTTGATTTATGTGATTTTAGTTTTAATTTGTTGTCAGTACATTAATAAAAATGTATTAATACTAATACTGGCAGAAATATCACTCGTTTTAAAATAGCAAGTAATTTAGTAACAAATATTGTTTTGAGTCACTAACTTGGTCAATAGAAAACTGCATTTAGCTTAAAAAATTGATATTACACTATGCATAGGTACAAACTATTAGAAAAAGTTTCGTGGTTTATTAGCTATCCAAAAACATTAAATTATTTATGAAATTCTCAAAAATTAATAACTTGATGATAAGGAAAGTGTAAAAGAAAACTGACAATTTTAAGAACATCATTATTTTTAAAATATTGGTCAAACCTACCTTCCCTATTGTGTAGTAGTAGTAGTAGTGTAGTGAATACATGTCCGCACATGCTTCCTTATCTCTGCGATGGTCACTCTTGAATCTTATTTTTCCACTAAGAATTTCAATAGACAGAATTGGTGTTGCACAAACAAACGACTTCATGTAAAATTGTGCCAGTATTAGTATTAATAAATGTTTATTAATGTATTGACAACAAATTAGAACTAAAATCAAACCAGTAGTTTTTTATTTATAGATGGTTTTGTAGTTCGATCGGGATTTTTAACCAAAACCGTAAATGTTGAATATCTCAGAAACTAGTCACTTTCGGACCAGAGACCTCAGGGCTACTTTTGTAGGAAATTAGTTATATTATCATGTGCCTACAGCACATCAGTTTTGTATTCAGTATTGTAAAGAGAGCATCAATAAACGGACGTGTTAGCCGATAGATATTGTTCTATTGCAATACTCGCCGCCATATATAAACTGCCATATAAAAGTACAGTGGTGACCCCGACGTGATCTGAACACGCAACCTTCTGATCTAACCTCTCGAGAGGAATACGTCGAGTTACAAGTCACCCTGTATGTGGTTGTAAAAGGTTGTACACATACAGGGCTGTAGTGAATTTTTTCAACAAAGCTCTAATGATACTCACTGACTAATAAATATCCCTTGGCATTGTCCTAACCTTCGTTGTGTAAATAAAAAAAATAAATTCCATGTGGTTCCAGGCATGCCAAACAAGTACATGAGAGCACTGCCCGTGACCGTGTGCTGAGCTCGGCAGTGCCCACCAAAGTCCCTGTAGCTGCTGTAACCGGGCGCGCTACGGTGTCATCACAACCTTCCTCACGTTCGTACTTATTCAACTGTTTGATCTGCAATGTACTGATAATTGACATGATGATAAGCAATGATTAATTGCAGCGGTAAGTCCCCTCTTTGAGTAGTGGCTTGAGAGACGCTACGGCGTCCTCACCTACCGCCTGATGCAGGTCCTAACCGGACATGGAAGTTTCGGGAGGTACCTGTGTCTGATGGGGCGGGAGGAAACGCCCGGGTGTCATCACTGCGAGGACCGCTCTGAGGACACGGTGGAACACCGTAGCGGAATGCCCTGCGTGGGCTGAGCACCGCCGTGCCCTCAGGGAAGTGATCGGCGATGGCGACCTCTCGCGTCCGGGCCTAGTGCAGGCCATGATGCGGAGCGAGGGGGACTGGGATGCCGTCTCCTTCTTTTGCGAAGCAGTCATGCTAGCTAAGGAGGAGGCGGGACGCGTGAGGCAGCGAAGCGCTGCCTCCTCGCAACCCAGCCATCGCGAAGGACACACCGGGCGTCGAGGATCGCGAGACGATCTCCGGCCACCGTAAGCGCGGGCCTGCGGACGGCGAGCATGGGTGGCTCCCCGTCCGACCAGAAACAGACCCAAGCGTACGGCGCGTCGTGTTCCGCGCGCGCCTCAAAGAGCCATCAGACCACCACAGATGGGGCCCAATAGGGCCGATGCCGATTCGGAGTCGCGGAGAACCTAACGGGTAACCGGGGCTCCGGCTCGACGTGCAGGAGAAGGAATGGGGTGGTTTTTAGTCAGTAAGAGTCTGACACTCCCTTCCGCCTCACCCAGGCAGGAGCAGTCATTCGATGATTTTCCCCCTTAAAAAAAAAAGCAATGATTAATTTTCTTGTCTGGTTACTATTTTACTGGTACATTTTATTTTATACCGCTTTTTGGAGCAGGAACTGGATGAACAGTACTCTTATCAATATGCTAAAAAAGAAAGCTTCAAAGAGCCAATGTGGATGATACTTTCAAAATATTTTCTTTCACTAACTAAAACATGTAATTTAGTGTCCCGATGTGATTGCACGGTTGGCACGATGGCGTAAGGCGTAGCAGGTTCAAACCCCGCACAGAACAATACTTTGTGTGATTCACAGATTGTTAATTTATGTAAGTATTGTGTTTGCTTGTTTTTTAATGCAATTATTCCCTGATACAGCGGCCAGCCGGATATTGGAGCACTACACGCGCAATCCACAAGTGCAGGACTCTCCTAGTCCCACGTCTCAACTAAAAAGAAAGGCTCTGGACATTGGGTGAGATTCTTTATTAACAATGAAACTCGTTTGAATTCCTATATGCCTTTAACATGTTGACTTCAACTAAATCATTTATTGTATGTCTTTTTTGTCTAACAGGAATGACGACATTAATATGAAAAAGTCGCGGCTGATACGTTTCGCTCCCACACAGCAAACAGTAGTTAAAGAAGGTAATGTACTTATTTATTAAAATGTAGAATAATAACATTCCTGCGACATGTTTAATTAACTAAAAATCGCGGGTTACTCACGTGAATATACTGATAAAAGCTCTACTAGTTTCGAACCACAGAGGGGTTCTTCACGAAACTAGTAGAGTTTTTAGCATGTCTCACGACAGTTGTTACAAAAACATGTTAAATTAATTGTTTACGTCACGTAACTATTGGCGAGATAACTCGACTAGGTTCAAACAGCGGCAGGAGATAGTGTAGTGAGCAGCATTTCGATGCGGCGAAAGTCGCTCTTCTGAGTTAAGTTAGTTAAACAGTTACTTGACGTCACTACATATTATAAAACAACGTCGTTTAGTATTGTTTCGATTGAAATTTCACTAGCCGTATGGTAGTGATAAAATCGTAAAAAATACCATTAAATTATCTAACGGTCTAACTAAACATATCTACATTTAAGTATAAATCGATTAGGGGAACAAAATGACGAATTATATTAAACATAAAGTCTAATATAACATTTATTATTTTGCTTTTTTTAACCGGAATGTCACTTTATCTTTTCAGGTCCTTCTAAAACAGTGTTCGCTCGACTAGGTAGCTCTGAGTCGGGGAAGGTGTCGCCAGTCACTACAAAAGCCTCAGTCAAGCCAATCTATGCTCGGCTCGGTTCAAAAGCCGACAAAGAAGAGGACGAGCAAGCTATACCGATCGAGAAGGATGCGCTCAAATACGCAGGCATACTCAAGAATACAGTTGATGTCTCTAAAAAGGTTTTCACAGTCACTACATCGAAGAATAACGTTAGGAAAATAGCAGTTGGTACTATGCGGGCTGACGAAGCTCCAGTTAGTGTGAAAACAAAACTGGCAAAACCCAAATCAGTCAAGTTCTCGAACCACATTCAGTATAAAGAAATAGATCCTGTTCAGCTCAATCAGAAGGCTGTGACTCAGAAAGCAGCGCCGAGTCCTGTGCAGAAGTTCACACCAGTGTTTAATAAACCTGAGAGGAGATTGTCCATGCCACCCATAGCCAACAATGGAATCAAGGCTAGGCTAGGACAAAAGAACACAAACAACTTGACAATCACTAGGAATGTTTTCAATAGACTGGGTGTTTGATTTAGTAGATACTTGAATGTGATGGTCTGACATACATATTCTGTGAGTGCAGTACATGTGTGATATTGACGCGGTTAATATTTCGCCGTGAAGTGCACTAAGCGGTCGTTATGTGAATGTTGTTTAATTGTTGTACAGACAATTTATTCGATTTAATTGTGTTGTGTTTGTGTGAAATCAGTTTGTGCGTATGTACATATAGGACATTTCGGGTCGCATGACATCATGCGTTGACGCATATAATAAGTTATCCACACAATATTGTCGTGTATTTATATTGCAATGTCATTATCTCACGCATTTACGGCAGTAAACCTTGTCATAACAAATTTTCGATTATTAAAAAAAAGTACGCAATGAACTACAAAGTATGTGTAGAAACACCCAAGTGGCAAGAAGTATTCAACCGCCTGGCGAGTGAATAGTATCTCTTTCTTATTAATGATGAAGTGAATGATTGATGATTAAAGGTACATAGTAGTAAGATAGTCGGCACAATACTGTCTGGTTTAGTAAAGAAATAACAGTTTGATCATTAACTAATTGTTAGTTAGTACGAAGGCCAGGGAAATGTTACGTAAGATGTCAAGTCATCACTCATTGCACATTAAGAATCTCTTTCATCCATTTCGTTTCGGTAGAAACAACAAAACTTTTGTATATTTAAATTTCCTTGCTAACTATTACTATATGATGTATATTTTTCTACTATGTGGACAATTTCAATATTGCGGTATCATGGTGCTAAACTTAAGGACAATCTTTTGTTGACTAATAAGTATAAAATATCTTTGACAACATTGTTGTATATTGTTCATTACAGTTTGACATTTGTTTATTCTATAAAATTGCTATCGGTACACGGTGATCAGAGTTTAGATAAGTATTTAAGTTTTATACTCAGGTCAAGAATTGGACTAAAATGTTCAGAATGTAAATCATTTAACTTGTAAATAACTAGCGCTAGATATGCTTTAATTTTAAATATACGGCTTGCGTTACGTTGTGACTTGAGTAGGCGATTGACGGCCGAAAGTAATAACCAATGTTAATCAAAAAGATATCTGGATAGATCTAAGTTTTTAATAGAAGCTCCATACAACTAATTAAATAAATACACGGTCGCGCACCACGCAGTGTCGCGCGTGAATGCGTGTTTGAACGCGCGGCGTGGGTCGCCAAATGCTTACAGCTGATTGGTCGCAACTGCGCCATTGTCTACCTTTATCTACAAAATTCGCACGTGAGTGCGGTATAAACTTGCACAATGACGCAGACCTCCCGCATGTTGTCACTTGTCACGCAACGTGCAGCGGGGTCGGGATAGTCGCCGTTGTAGATCTTTTCTCAAATAGTTCACGTGCGTGAGGCATAACATTTTAATGAATAATATAATTCAATTAGTATTTTCTATGTACCTAGATATGTAAATTTGAAATTAAATGATTTATTTAACATTTGAAGCTTTTCTATCTCTATATTTAATCCAAAACCATCCAGTAGACAATGCGTGGAACAATAAACTTCTCACCCTTCTCACCAGACCTTGCGCCTACAGACACACTAGCACTACTTTTTCCAGAATTTGGATAATTACCTACTTGGCGGGAAAAAAATTAATGTTCGAGAGGCGGGTCGAAATGCCATTGAAAAATTTGTTGGATCGCCTCCAGCTGATTTCTTTAAGAAGGCAATAATCAGTAAACTGCGGTGGCAAAGATGCATTGATTGCATGGGTTCTTCGATTGATGATGAGCACTTCTATTAACACAAATAAAAAATATATCAATTGTTTCATACAAAACGGTAATTTCATAGGATTTTTTTAAGGAAGGAATTTCATCCTACGACTTCTCCCGCCTGGGTGAGGCGGGAGGGAGTGTCAGACTGTTACTGATTAAATACCACCCCGTTCCAAGTCCTGCACTTCAAGCCGGAGCCCCGGTAACCTTTTACGTTCTCCGCAGCTCCGTATCGGCATCAGCCTCCCTATTGGGCCCCATCCGTGGTGGTCTGATGGTTTTTTGAGGTGCACGCAGAATGCGGTGCGCCGTACGCACGAGTCTGGTTCTGGTGGGGCGCCGAGCTACCCATGCTTACCGCCCGCAGGCCTGTGCTTACGACGCCCGAAGCTAAGCGCTGCCTCGCGCGCGCTTCCCGCCTCCTCCTTAGCTGGGATAACTGCTACGTAAAAGCCCAGCCCTCGGTTGCGACAGTCGTTGTTGCCATTTCGCTATAAGTTCACACTGGAGCTCATCCCGCCACGTAACCTAGCGCGGCAGCGGAGTTTTGCCCCGGCGACGTGCTGACGCGCGGAAGCATCTTCGTCTCCAGATGATCCCACGGCGGTAATTCGCACCAGATTCGGCACCCACTCAGGGCGCCAAAGAGGGTCCGCGCGTATATCCACCGGTAGGAGGCGTTTGGCTAGAGGTTAGGTAGGAGGCGCTTTAGCGCCGCCCCCGTCCTTTCTAACTTTGGAGCCAAACGTCGTATATCCATAAAGAGTTACCGTAGGATCGCAGCTTTTAGATTAGTAGGGTTTGCAACACCAACTGGTTTTCTATTAAAATCATGAGAATCGAATATTAAACTAATAAAGTAGTTGGTGAAAGAAAATTATCTGTTTACGTTCAACGGGCCTTTAGTCTGCTATTTTAATAAAATTCGTCATTTCAACACGTATCACGATCCCAATGTCCCTTGTTCAAACATCTCCTACATTTATAATGGTCGAACATTGGTTGATTGCACAATTGGTGCGGTGGCTGGGCGACCGGCTGCCGCGCAACGTACAGCGGGTTCGATTACCGCACGGAGCAACTCTTTGAGTGTTCCACAAATTGTTGTTTCAGGTCTGGGTGTCATGTGTATGTGAACTTGTATGTTTGTAAACGCACCCACAACGCAGGAGCATTATTGAACGTTGGGGCAACGTTCAAAAAATTTAAAAGTTTATTAATGGGACACAGTTAAAAAATAAAATAAAATAAATTACCTAAGTAATAATTTTTTACTTAATATTATTTTTTTTATTTAATAAATTAGGTAAATAGTTAGGGTAAGTTAGTCTTTCGTTTGTTACCTATTATTTGGAAAAAGTTGTCAAAATCAGCAATTATGATAATATGTAGGTAATAATATCTATAATTTAGCAACTATTAGACCCAACAAGTGCAGTGTAGGTAACCTGATAGTAGACAATCGGCACTGCCCATGGACTTCGAAATACCAGCGGAGTTAGGTACAAGAGCGTTGCCGGCCAGTCAGGGTCTGATGGTTTTTTTTTTTTTTAAGGGGCGAAAATCATCGATCATGCTCCCGCCTGGGTGAGGCGGAAGGGAGTGTCAGACTCTTACTCTTACTGACTAAAAACCACCCCGTTCCTTCTCCTGCACGTCGAGCCGGAGCCCCGGTTACCCGTTAGGTTCTCCGCGACAGGGTCTGATGGTTTGGCGATTAGCGATAAGGGATGATGGGGCTTCCGGTAAACTCACACACACAAAGGCAAAACAAAATTAAATTAAAAGTTTGAAATCGCCAGTCCGTCTTGAGAAACGATTTTAATGCTTATTGCTTCCCCTGATGATAGATTAGCAGTAGCGTGTTATTAAGAAATGAAGCAAAACAAAAGTGGAAACACCTAGTAGCTACCTAGCTACAAACCTACCAGGTACCAGGTACCTACCTGCCTTGTGACTACAATTTGTGGTTTCGCTCCGTAATCATTGCATTTCCATTCTGTAAGGTTAGCTAATGGGTACCTAATCATAATATTACCTATATATCTTCTCATGTTACTCATGCAGAGAATTACAGCCACTACGGGCTGAAACTACCTATAAGTAGGTGCAATGTTAGGTCATGCCTGGAGATCTTTAAAGGACCAAGTAAATCAAATATTTTTTTAGCTAGGTAGGCTCTAAAGGTGCCATCTACAATACTTCGGTTTCAAGTGTAGGTTGTGTGGCTTTACAGCTCGCAGTGGTCGCCACACTTCACATATCAGTTGACCGTGCATTCGATACAAGCTCACGCTTGACCGATGACCGCTGGCGCCGCTGCTACATGAACTTTCACTGGGTTTCTAGTGCCTAGGCTAGCCTAGGCTTCTTAACGCGCTGACCGTGACGATTTATACCGAAGTACCTAAGAAAGCTAGTGGGTTAGGAAAGTAAACGCGATGTGATGTTCCTCTCATCGATACGCGAGAAAACAATTGCATCATTACCGCAAATAAATAATAATTGATTCAGATAACGACCGAAAATAATTTTTCCATTTACTTGGTGGATGTCTATCCTTGATCCGTTGTGACATTCCGTTGCAGTGTTGTTACTCAAATAGCGCCTGTTTCGAGCGTGAAAATGAGTCCGTACCGGCTCCCTTAACTGACGTTGTCTCTAACAACTGCAATAAGTCGCATGTCGCTGTCCATCGAACGAGAGGTATTACCTACAACAAGTCTATCACCCAGTCACAGTTGACGTAACCGGGCAGCTCCCATCTATTGTTGACGTTCGTGTAATGTTACCTTATAATTATGTTACGTATCCGGACACAGGAAGTAGTTTATTTTCCGTTTTTGATTAAATAGTAAACGAATAATAACAAATTTCGTTTATTTTATTGGACACTACCGAATGTTTAATGATATAACGGGTGTCCGTGCCTAAGACGGAGGAAAATAGAGTGGCATTTGCAAAAAGACGAGCGTTGTTGGTTGGTTGCGCTTGCGCACGTTACGATATAAGCCTGCGGAGGGAGCCGCGCCGCTGCAGTGCCGCTCCCACTGTCTCGACACAACGTCGCCCAACATGGGGAGAAAGGTAAACTCTTTTACTTAATTGTAATACAATAATCCAATAAAGATAATCAATTAGATAATAATATGTTGTTCAGCAGTTGTTATTAAATTATATATTTCATATTTATTTCTCTTTGTTCACAGACGATATTAGCGGCTGTGTGCTGGCTGACTTTAAGTCAAGCCCTGTGTGATAAAAACAGTCAAAGTGTCGCAGACAATGTAAGTGCAGAAAGTGCTCCTCGCCTGTACGGCAACGTCCCCGTGGGGGTGTACGCCAGCGCCGCCCCGTACGCGGCGTACTCGTTCCACCTGCCTCAGTTTGTCGCCGCGCCGAAGCCAGCGGCCTCACAAGTAGCCGCAGTGAAACAGAAGCCAGTGAATCAAAACATAAACACTTATTTGATGGACTCGTACGGGAACAGATACTTCGAAACGCCCCAGCAACTCCCATACAAAGCTGCATTCTCGCAACAATACGTGTCGCTTCAACCTACACTGCCAGAACATTTGGCTCAACCGTTGGTTGCAGCTTCGCCCAACTTCCAATTCCAGCAATCGGGCCCGCAAGTGTTCTTTGGGGCGCCGATCAGAATTTCGGCGCTGCAGACCCCGGCGCCGACACCTCTTAATCAATTTCCGAGCTTCGGACGCTTAGTGTATGCGGATAAAGTGCAAAGTTTAGCGCCATCTTCAATTTCTCAAAATCATGGTTTTAAAATTCCAACGGCCCAACAACAATCAAGCAATAACAAAAATGTTTTCTCCAACACAGAATCACATGAGCAATATGTTAATTTAAAAGATGAACCAAAGTTCCAACGACAGCAACAAGCACCTCAAATAATTGTTGGCAAACCTAAGTCAGAGAACAAACAGGTAACATCACCCGCTAGTGCAAGTGAAACAAAGTTCCAGCGCATTCACGAAATACCCAAAGAAGTTCGAGGCCATACGCAATTCCAACGTCTACAAGAACAACCTAACACTGCCAAGGAACATACCTCTGAAAGTGCGCAAGAGAGTTCAAAACACCTAGGAGGAAATCCTCACAACCTTCAAAACAACAAAGCTCAAATTCAATCTGCGCCTACAAAGCAGACAACTTTCACGTATGTGAATGATATCAATGGGAAGAAGTCTGTGGTAAAAGTGCAAAGTGAACCTATCCCTCTACTAGATTTAACTCTTCTTGAGCCGTTAACTTTTAAGAATCCTCTCGTCCCTCAAGTACAACATTTCTTACCTAGAATTAACCAAGCCACTTATCAAAAATTGCCTCAGGCAAACTTAGATGGCGTTAAAAATTATCAAAAAGAATTTGTGGTTCAAAAGACGATGTCATATGATAGTAGGAACTCAAATGAAAAGCCACAGAAAAACGTAAATAAAAAGAAAGAGAAGAAACCAACACACTCACATAAACACAACAAAAAAAATGATGCACCGAAGAAAAACCTCCACGAGACGCTGGATGATGCTCCAGAAATTGTTTATGAAATTAATGCTCCTGGGCATAAGGAGACTTATATAGAAAAGGCGATAAGTTACAACAAGGAGACACAGCCTGAACCAGTACATTATAGTTATGGTTCTAAATCTGAAAAAGAACCAGTAACGTATAGTTTTTCACGTTCGTCTAAAGATCCGGGTCAAGTCAAACAAGTACGGTACTACGGCAAGACTCAAGGTCCGTCACATCTCGTTTATAATTTTAAACCAGAGGAACTGCATAAGGAAGAGCATGTCCACAAAAACGTTCCTAATAACGAGTCAAATAGTCACGAAGATTCTGCTCAACAATCAGAAGACAGTGGTCCAGGTTATCAAAACAATTATAATGATCATCCTAAATCGTCTGAGGAATATGATGAAGTACCACATAAGGAACAAAGTCACTACCATAAGCCAAGCCAGCCAATTAATGATGAGCCACAGGAGCATCGATCGAATGCAGACACATCCAATTACAACGCCGGCCCGATACAACATAAGGAACATTTTAATGTTGACCCCATTGTACAGGAATATGAAGAAGACATACGTCTACTCGCCAATGCTCAAATAAAAGTGGACCCCACTCAACACGTCCCTCACGCGGAGTCTGAACACCACGCACGCGCTCCTCAGCGAGAGCAGCAGTCCGAGGCTCCGCATCGACACCACTCCTCGCCGCAGAAACAGCCTCATCAATTACCACCGCAACAATCACATCACCATTTTTCCTCTCCCCAGTCTGAATCCCATAATATTCCATTAAGTTATAACCATGGAGAATTAAATCGGCATCACCTGCCTTCCGCGCAGAAACAACCGCAACCTCCGCCACCACCGCACCCTCACATTCATTTCTCAAGCCCGCAGCACGAGTCACATAATGCACCAGCTGCTCACATCCATGAGAAATCAAAACGCATTATTATTCATGATGAGGCTCCGGATGAAAGACACATGCATCAAGAACAGATGAAAGAAGAAGTATTTGACCGAGAAGAAAATAATGAAGAAGACTTTGAGAAAGCTTACAAGAATGCTGCTTTTGGTTTTCCCGCCTACAGCAAAGAAGCATTAGAAGCGGAAGAAAAGGATATCTTCGATCCTGCGAGTTACGGAGTACCGCCAGACCACATCGAGTACAACATTGAAAATACGCCATTTCAACAATACCAGGAAGAAGGCGATGAGTTCCCTAAAGAGGCTCGCGCCAGTTATAAGGACTCCAGGGACAAAATGAAGGAAGATTATTACACTGATTATTCAATTAGCAAGCCCGAGAGTCTGCTCGACCGCTACCAGAACAAGTTGGGCTATTACAAGTTGTACAAGCAACAGCAACCTGATTATTACGTAGCCGATGGAGACGACAACGACAAAAAGAAACAGAAACCGAAATTCGCGCAATACTCGGTGGCACCTACATTCGGTTTTCAGTCCAAGAATGAAAAAAAAGCAAAATCGTATTACGGCCACCACAAGCCTAAACAACAGTTGTACGAATACGATTACTCGGAGGGCACGCCGCGAGATAACTCAGCCTTTGCGTCCCGGCCCTACCAGAGGTACAAGACCAAGACTAACTTCGTAGAGCCACAGTTCCAGTACGGTTTCGAGCCGATATCAATACCAAAGCTCCTCGACAGTGAGTTGGCCGCGATGGCCAGCGTGCATAGGCCTGAAAGTGAAAAGCCGGGCATGAGGAAGAAAGTCTACAAAGAAAACTGGTATATTAAGAAAACTAGCACAGCAGGTGGGGTGCCAGCTAGCTGATAAAACTTATTTATTGTTGTTTACGTTAAGTTGTAATAGTAAATTAATAAATAGTCAAAATATTTAAACGTAGTTTTCATTCGATAAAACCGTGATCTTAATAACAAAATGGTATATAACAATTGCTTATTCTATTTCTTTAATATTACGTAATTAAACTTTCTCTATCTGTCAATATATTACGTGACGGTAGCTATTTTTTGTAACAAATCTTAGAGTTCATCGGTAGGTAAACAAAAAGACAATTTTGTTCTCTAAATAAACTATAGAATCAGTGACTGTTTCAATCGCAAAAAGTCTGATTTTGATTACGCATACTCAATGGATCTAGAGGATATCGATAGTCTTGCTTATGAAATATATTAAGTTACAATTTCGTCGCTACACTTCATAAAACAAGTAGCTCCACTATCATAAAACAAATTGATGACTGCAAATGAATGCATTCCTGAATCTCAGTTCCTTCCGTATCCGGTAGTTACCATGTGTTCCGATCCTGCATTGATTTCCTCGATCGGAACCAACACTGCAATGATCACGCGATCCATGATGATGGGCTACACACGCGAGAACATTTTTTGTTGTTAAGAGCAGAGCGCAAGTGCAAGTGCAATGTATTCTGACGTCATCGGTATGTGAATTTTAATTGCTTTAAATTATTTTACCAGGTCAAATATAATGAAGGTCGTTTTAGTAAAATATGTCCATTGAAAATTTAAAAAAAATAAACATTTCGAAAACATTCAAAAAAGTATAGCTGTACCTTGGAGTATCTCTTGAGCAACTCTCGATTATACGCTGACAGGTTGCAGACGGCTACTTGTGAAGAAATAGACAAAAAGATTGCTTTGCTCACAACCAGTCAGTGGTTTTACAAATGAAACCAATCGGTTTTCCAATAAATCTATTTTCAACGTTCGCTCGTTGAATGACTGTTTCAATGTAAAACTCTGGTATTCTTGTTAATTAAATACACTACAATGACCTCGCTGAAAGTCTTAGCAACTAGTCTTAGGTTCTATGTCGCTAGTAGACCTTATGTTGGAAATGCGACACTCTGTGAGTTGGTGTGTTTGTGTGTTTGTTACTAAACTGAAACAACTTTTAGAACAGGGGTAGACTGTGGCATGAAATAAACACATAGGCTACATTTTATTCAATGAAAACGTGGGTGAAGCCGCTGGAAGAAGATAGTGAATAATAAAATGATAAAAAATGTTAAGAATCTATATTTTTATTGATCCAATACTGACAGGTACTTAACATAAGCTATAACTTCACAAACCGTATGAGAATCATGACCTCAATCGAAACGATGTGACTAGTAAAATAACATACATAAATAAGTGACCAATGTGACCATATCATAAATTCGAAACATTTCTAAATTTTTAACTTCTCGACCAACTATTAGAACTACAGACGAGAGTAAATACAAAAATAAATGAAACAATGTTTCCGAAGGACTAAACAGTCGGTGACGACTGACGATACACTGGCAGCTGGCACTCGGACTCCATTGCCCGCTATCTAACCTTTCTATTGGTCTCTGAATCCGATTCGACTATGTTCTTCCTTCTAAATAGTTTGATCGTCATGAGGACCGTAGCAACTCCTAAGCTCAAAGCCATAACGGCTACAACTGCGACTCCTGTGGACATTTGACTACTATAGCTGTAATCATATTGTTCGCCGACTAAAGCTACCGGTCGAAGAATTTTCACAACCGGCTCACACCCAGATTCCCTCACATATTTCGCCCATGTTCTATTAGCAAATGTTAATTCTCTAGGTTTAGCGAATGGCCTCCTGCCCGGCACCGTCTTGTTCACCATCGTGGTCATGTTCCGGAGCTGAGTTTCGTTGTATCGACAATATAGGTTCTTCTTCTTTTTATTTCCTTTGACCACGATGTCTTTTTCAGCACTCTTTGCCCCAACCAGAACATCGAGATCGCCTTTTATCATATTAGCCCAGTCCCACATCTCTGCGATCTTACAGTCACACACAAACGGGTTGTCCAGCAGGTTGAGTGAATGTAACTTGGGATTGTTGCTGAATACTTCAGGATCTATTGTGGTCAAGTTATTACTCCCAAGGTTCAACTTTTCCAAGTGATGTAGACGTTCTAAGAAGGACAAGCTTCCCGTTGTAGATCTGATACGGTTTCCACCGAGATTGAGCTCAGTTATATTTTCTGTGTTCTTGAAGGCGTCCGCGTTCAGTGCAGATATATTGCAGTTACTAAGATCGAGGATTGAAACTTGAGATAGCTGTTTCGGAAATATTGGTCCTGACGCAGGAATTACTAAAGGATTTCCTCCAAGACGTATCTCGCGTAAGTCCATGTATGTAAGATTTTTGAAGAAAGCTAATCCGTTCAAAGGTCGTTTCAGGCCACAGAACTCCAGTTCTATTGTAGTAAGTTGAGTCAAATTACCAAAAAGTCCCGCTTCCAGAGATAGGAGATCATTTCCAGATAGTACTAATCTTCTCATCGACGTCATTTTGGCGAATGTATCTGGTCCGATATAGGAAAGGTTACTGTAGCCCATATTCAGATATTCTAACTTCTCGAGTGGTGATAATAACTTGGTGAAAACGTTTTCCAGTGGATTATGGGATATGTCAAGTTCAAGCAGGTTATCAAAAACATTAAAGTTATCCGGCAAATCACGAAGGCCACAGTGACTTAAGAATAATCGTTCAAGTTTAGTTAACGGTTCCAACGCTGCTTGCAAGTCCGCTGCAACTAATGGGTTGCCAGACAAATATAAAGTTTTCAATCTGGTAGCATTTGTGAATGTTTCTCCAGACACAGGGCCTTGTATGTTACAGTTAGAGAAATCCAACAATTCTAAATGAGTAACGCTGCTACCCAAGGTGGCTGCGACATCCAAGTCTCGTAGCTCGTTATCAGCCAGGATAAGTGTAACCAAATTAGTGCAATTAGAGAAAGTGTCTTCAGACAGTGATGTCAGCCCTGATTTCTTCAAGTTCAGGTACTCTAGTCGAAGCAGTTTGCCGAGGATCTCTGGCCAGTCTGCATTGATTAAGTTATTACCAGATAATTCTAAATATTTAATGTTGGTGGCAGAGGAGAAAGCGTTTTCAGAAATAGAAGTGAGTTTACAATCATTAAGTTTCAGCGTCTCCAGGCTGGTCAGCACATCAAAAAATCCCGCTTCTAGGGTCTTAAGAGGATTTCCTGAAAGGTCTAATGTTGTCAATGTTGTGATGTTGTCGAAGAATTGTGAATTTATCGACGATAGATTGCAAAAACTGATATCCAAATACTGTAGCGTGGAGGAGGCCAAAAACGGTCCTCCAACGTTGGTCAATGGATTGTCTTGTAGTTCGACATTTAGGAGACCTCGAGCATCCCTGAAAAATAAAAAGCTTGGTTTTAGGTACATGGTATAATGTATGGTGCCTACGGAGTACAATGAGCTTGCACTCGCAGGGACTATAGATACACGTGTCGTGAGTTATGTCTAATGTACTGGAGCTGAAGCCTAAAGGTAACAGGGTCTTTTGTGGAACCCCACTACTCGTAATGAACGTAAGCATGTAAACGGCGATCTAGCCAATTGAATTTGCATCGTTGGGTGACTATTATCCAATATTGGCATCAGACTGCCAGCAATTGGTCTCACTTCTGGTACCATAACGAGTTTAAGAGCAATTTGAACAATTTTATCATCAACACGTATTGTGTTCCTCGTTCGAATGTCAAGAGCCAACGGGCAGATAATACTCGCCCGTGAGAAAATTACTCTTTGTAAGCGAAGTAAACAAATGTGTGTGTGGTGAGTCGGTGGCCATCATGACTCATTTGTTGACCTTTAGTGATGATATTGTTAACGTTTTGTTGCAAGTATGCATAGGTACTCCAGAGGACATCGATTTATAGGCACTGTAACATTACATTTTGTTTAAACAATTTTATTGGTACCGACTAGCGAGACTTTCGAGTTTAGGTATGATTTTTGTACAAAACAAAATAAAAGTGGCTCAAAGGAACCTGAGCGTAAAGATATAAAAACTACTGTAAAAGTGTAACATTATCACTTCTTTTGTTTATGATAGAAAGTTACAAACCACTTCGGTTTATAAATGAGCAATCATTCAGTCAAGTTTTGTTCTTGTTGCTTGACGATGTTATTTCATAATAAAGCGTCAATGGCCACCGGGCACCAGTTAAACAAAACCGTACCGTGATTTATTGTTTTTATTTAGAGGGAATGCATTGCAGCTGTTGCCACTTTAATTCAATTACCAATTACAATACTATCATTCTTCCACAACATTACTTTACAAAACTAAATGCCACGGTCTGATCAATTAGACAAGCTACTTACAGAAAGGCTTCAGGGTCAACGTAGCTGATGTTATTCCCTGACAGATCGACGTCTATCAGGTATTCTAATCCTTTAAAAGCTTCTTTATCAATCCTTGTAAGGTGATTGTTGGCTATCTGCAGTCTTCTCATCTTGATATCTCCAGGGAAGGGCTTGAGGCTCGTGATGTTATTACCATTCAAGTCCAAGATGTACACGCTAAGACTCAGCTCATCGTATGGGATTTCTGTGAGGTTGCTCTCCGAACAGTCAGTGACCCAGTTAATCCTGAAGTAGTGGCAGTCGCATTCGTCCGGACATTCCAGTTCAAAGCTATCTCCATTGAAGGCGAAACTGAAGCCGAAAGCAAACATCCAGAGAGCAAGTACCGTGACCTGAGCCATTGTGATGATGACTTCAATACTGGATTTGAGTGGCCATCATTGTCTGGAACAGAATGTGCTAGTTAGAAATTAACGACGGAGTGGACATCGTTATAGTTGTTTTTGTTTAGACTTGCGCTAATGAGATGTGTCACGTCAGAGATTCATGCGAATCAGTGTTTAGAATCTTTAGCATCTGTTCATCAATATGAGTTTTTGATCATAAAACAAGTGTTATCGTTCTGTAAACACATACGGATTAACAGTAGATGAAATGTCAGATATCACTCGATTGATTGAGATAAAATATTTCATTTAGTTATTTAGTGGAACATTATTTTATCGATGTTGAACTACACTTATTTTTATAGTTGTAATTACTGTTTTTGTTCATGGACTGCGCGCTTGGAGATTTATTGGAATTAAAATAACGATTGTGTAAGTGAAGGCATGGCATAGGATTGTCTGGACAATGACTGTAATAGTCGGCATCCTGTCCAAGCCGTGCGACGCGTTTCCCGCCAGAATTTTCCAGAAACGATACAATGATGTTAGGTCACATCACGAGTTAGTCGTGCTAACTCATAGGTATAATAACTGGATCACTGACCCTGATACATTGGCCTTATTGCCACATTACAATATCCACACAAATATTCCGCTGCTTTCGTTGTAAGTAAAGTAGTATTTATCTATAGGTACTTTACGATGAGTATAATTATGTGTAATGAAAATGTTAGCTAACACTGTCCCTTTCTTTAATACTTATTGAAAAGTTTGGCCAACTGTGTGACAAAGTATGGACTATTGACACACACCTCCACATGGTGTAGTCACGCTCGCGATCACTAGAGCAACAAGGCAGTAATTAATTATACTCGCTGACTCGCTGCAGCTATCATAATTATTCAAATAATCAATGAAGCAGTGTAAAGTCAGTCAGTGGGTAACTCGGCGTGGTCACTCGACACAGTCTGAGTCATACTAACTAGAGAACTAATACTACTAGCAATAACATAATTGTAATCGATGAAGTTAATTTATTAAACTGACTCTGGCAGTTAATGTAATGAGACGGTCGCAGTTACAAGTCGCTAACTAGATACATTAGTAGGTACCTAAACAACGGAAGTGGATCAATGTTACAATTTTGCTTCTAAATTTGTATAATGTAGCTGTTGATTCGCCATTTAAAAGATAAATAAGTAAATAAATACACGATACTGAGGCAGTAAGCAAAGGCAGAGCACCAATACGCTGAGATGGGTGTTGCGGGTTTGAGTCGTGCTAGTGTCATTCATTTGATATTACGACATAACGTATTACCTACTAATTATAATTTACATTTGTTCACATTAATTACGCAAACAGACAGGCATATAGCACATTGGGTTTGTGCAACAAGAAAACAGACAAAAAAATTCAACATAGGTACTGTTCGGCTTGGGCAGACTGCCTGGGACAGATTGAAACACCTACCCAATCACATCTAAGTACTAAACATATTATAAATGCAAAGTTTGTCAGAATGTATATGTATATGTAGTTATGTATATGTATGACGTTTGTTATCATTTCACGCACAAACTACTGCATGGGCCGGGCGGGCTAAACTGATGGCACCAGCTAGAATATCGACGTTATTTTTGTATTATTTAATGGCACTAGTACGTAGGTAAGGTACCTACTGCATAGCCCAGCATGCCTTACTTGTTCGGTAGGAAATTATGTCATTTTGCTGAGATTGCATTCAGTGGAAATGTCATCGATATGTGATTTACAAACATAGGTAAGTACCTAAATATATTTTTATTTGAGACTAATTAAAAATAAACACCATTAAGTGAACTTTATTTATCTGCTTGTATAATGTTAGTACTTAAAAGTAACTGCGCAGGAATCTTCAATAATACATAGAAATAACTCTAAGTACAATAAGCGGATAGTATTGCCGCTGCCTGAACCTGAAACGATTAATTTTCTTTTAGTTATAGGCTAATGAGTATGTACGTGTGACCAACGTGAAGGTTCAGGAAATATATACATAGTCCTAGATACTGTGTCGTATGCACTGTGACGCAATAACTGCGTACACTCCGAGTGTAATACTTATTAGGTATGTACGTCTTAGTATGATTATCACACAATTTATTTACATCTAAAGAATAGAAAAAATAGCTTTGGTAAGCAATTAAGTGAATATTACAAAAATACGTAAATATTGCAGGTTGAAAAACTTCGTTATATTCTTTATTATTAGGTATTAGGTATGTACTTCTCTATCTTAGAATATAGACGTCTAGATAATTAAGTTTACAAACGTTAGAACGTTAAACCGTTAAACAAATGTAAAAAAATAAAACAAAGCTCCTCGTAACATAATAATGACATAAGATATAAAACACCATAAAATACTTATTATGAAATGTGGAAATGTTATAGGTACTCTTTTATTGCAAGTCTGCAAGTACCTATGTAGGTATGTATGTAGGTATCTAATTCCGCTATGTCGATTATTATTAGATACAGGAATGCCTTTGAACAGCCGTGTTATGAAGTAAACAAAACAATGCGTTATCTACGCGCGATGTAACCGTTAATGACGTATGAATAAGGGCTCCTGTCTCAACTCTAAGGACTAGAGAAGTAGTGAAGCCCCTTTTAGAATACATTCACTATTCACCTTGTAAAGATAGTAATTCCTTACTTATCGTAGATACATCTTAGAATCTTACAACAGAAAGGTATATTGATGTTTACAAGAACGAAAAAACTGCTGCACGATGAACTTTATGAATTCAAAGTGAACTTGATAACGCTGGTTTGATCAAAAAGGAATACATAAACGATGTTCGCGTCGCTGAAGGCACGCTTGGTATGTACCGAGGTCACAGTAATTTTTCCGTACCGGTGCATATGTAGAATGACTTACATGTGTCGCTGTACAACGTGCTCACTTGTCGGCCACCGGCTCTCGACTGAACTTAGGTACTGATGAGGACAGTTCTGCTACACACAGTTTGAACGGCCAGTGTTGTCCATTTCTCGTATCTTCTGATCCTTTAATCAACATATCATAGCTCTCATATATTTACATCGATATCACGCGGTGTCGACTAACCGACCAACGACGTCAAGAAAATCGAATTTGTCGGCGTCAAAAATGATTACCGAAATATCGAGTAGATATTTACCTACCTGCTTACATGAATACATCACGGTTAATAATGGTTCCATATTAGGTATATCGGCTGCATTTAAAAACAATCAATTAGGGAGCTTTTGCATTGGGTATAAGATAAGCCTTTATAGTGTGTATGTTGTGTTTTTTTTTTAAGGGGGGAAAATCATCCAATGACTGCTCCCGCCTGGGTGAGGCGGAAGGGAGTGTCAGACTCTTACTGACTAAAAACCACCCCGTTCCTTCTCCTGTACGTCGAGCCGAAGCCCCGGTTACCCGTTAGATTCTCCGCGACGTGTATGTTGTGTAGAGTGTAGATGTAGACGTATGGTGGAAGTGGATCTGTGGTAAATAATAGCCGAGAGCACTGAGATATCAAAAAGACTTTGGGAGCGAGGACAAGGGATCAAACTTAGAGTTTAAAATTTTAGAGTATACTATGATTTTATTGTAACATTCTACCTTTATTTAACTTAAAGTGGAGGAGCAAGGAATCTTAGCATTGCGTATTTGCTATAATTATATTTACTGGCGCAATAAAAAACTACTATAATTATTTGTGTTGGGTGGGTGTTGCTTGAACGACACAATTTTAATATCACATGATTGTTTTGTTATGATATTATTATCCATATCGATTGTTTATTAAATAATTTTCAAATGTGTCAAATTGAAATAATACCTTATAACTTTGAATTTGGTAGAAAATAAGTATTAATTTTTGATGTTTGATGCATAACCCCTATTACTTGGTGAAATTGGTGAAACTACAGTTCCGTTCCATGTAAGTATTGGTTTGTACTTGATATTCATGTTGTCGAAAAATCATTATTTTTTGGATATGCAATACTGTTTTTCGCATTGACATCTCAGTTGTCCGTGTCCTGTCAGTGTCAAATTAGCACAACCTTCGAGAAAACAAGTTTTGCGGCGAAAGAAGTAATTTAATTTGCAATTTACTAAAATGAGTAGCTTAAATAAAATGAAAATAAGTATGTCCAAAGAGGAATGTGCTGAAATGTCTTTGGACGAGGAACCGCTGACGAAGTTATTCGACGATGCCATGAAAATATTTGAAGCTATAGAGAAAAGCAATGAGCCTACAAACAGTAACAGTACTCAGGTGTGTTCTTTTTTCAAATTAGTATTTTCAGGATAGTGAAAATTAACATCGTTTTTTACTACACTTCATATTGTTCTAAACAATATTAAAAAGGGTAAGTGAACCCCTAGAATATTCCATACATCTGGTGTATGTACTTCTTTGGTGTTATTGTCTGATTCACTAATTTGAGATATGATCATGGAGAATTTCATAAAGTCATTTTAGGATTATTTTTTGTGCAACTTTGAAGTGAAAATGATGAATATATGAATGAGTTTTATTACAATTGACAGTTGAGTGTAAAGTCAGCAATATCAAAGTTTGAGAAGGCCACCAACCTCGTGTCTCTGGCAGAGATGTTCAGCCGGAACGAGGGTGTGGAGGAGCTGCCCACAGAGACACTGCGCTACTTGCTGCTGCCTGCGCTGCTCGGCACTCTCACTCTGAAGCTGTGCAACCAACCACGAATTGATCTTGTCAATGTGGCTGAGATTTATTACAAGTAAGAATATTTTAAAGGCCAAAATTATGTACTTAATTTTAAACCTAGAAGATGGATCATTTTGCAGAGTGGTAAAGTTACCCGTGCCCAAGTTTATTAACAAGTATTTAATGTACTTGTAGAGATTTCCTCCAGAGGTGTAAGGACTATGGAGTAACAGACCTGGAGGTGCCATCCACCAGTGACTCACGCCAAGTAGAGAGGCCACACAGTGAACAAGCTAAGATAGCCAGTTTGGTAAGTGCTAGATAATAGTTTCAAGTTTTAGTATGTTTATTATTATTCTCTGACTGATGTAATTATCAATGATATTTCCAGGTGCAAACCAGGGAGGCTAAGATCAGGAGGTACAAGCAGGCGCAGGAGCTGAAAGACCAACTAGCTGTATTGTCCAAAGCGATGGAGTCCTCAGCCGACGACGAGACAAAGAGAGCATACTTCCTGAAGCTGCTGCAGAGCTACATCAACCAGGCTTTTGAGGAACTCAGCAGCATTGAGCAGGAGAAGTCTATATTGGAGTACATGGCTAAGAATGCCGGAGGTATATTTACTTTGATATCTTAGTTGTGTTACAGACAGATATAGGGGCACTTCAACTCCATCATTGAATTCTCATATTATGTCAATTTATGTGAGTACGAAGCTATCTACACTAATAGTATAAAGAGGAAAGATTTGATTTGAAACAAAATATCGCCTATGCAACTTTCAATCCTTTCAACTATCGCGACGAAGTCGCGAGAAACAGCTAGTACTTGATAAAAGTTAAGTAATTATAAAGCATGTGGCATTATAACATATTATGTGTATGTTGCAGAGCCAAAGCCAGCGGAGCGCCCCCGCGCGCCATTGAGGCCGGTGATCATAACTCGCGACGAGCTGCAGAAGGCAGTGTTCGGCGCGGGCTACCCGGCCATACCCTCGCTCACCGTCGAGGAGTTCTACGACCAACGAGTTAGGGAAGGCCTGTGAGTATATCTGTCGGCATGTTTCTTTTACTGCTAGACTTAGGTGGATGAAGGTGATGGCTTGAGTTCTCTGGACGAAATTACGGATTAGGTACTAGTGTTGGCAAAAAACGAGTATTTGTTGTTACTGCTTAGCTCAGAATTATTATTGTAAATTACAAATAGAGACAGAGATAAGTAAATAATATTGCTTGATGAACAGGTTCCCTGGAGCATGCACGAGTATACCGCACACAACTATACAGAGCACTGAGAACGACCCCGACGAGGAGGAGAGGATACGAAAGGTATACTTTGTACATTACATAGGCCATTATAATATTTGACTTTCAACCTTACTGCCTTGCAATACAGTTGATAAACTGTTAAAGATAATGATATTTCTGGGTAGCTTGATGTACTCGCGTTTTTTTATCTATAACGGGTGCATCCATCTTCCTTCCTCAAGTCCAACGATCCTCAAGTTCTTCTGTATGAATGACCAAATGTTATCTAATTACAGTTTTATTCCAAATATACAACCCATACTGGTGCAAGTATCATAATAATTGACAATTCATAGTAATACTTTATACTGTCTAAATAATGATCTTATTTTTAATTATAGGAGCTCCTAGAGGAACAAGATGACCCTGAAGAGAGGGCGAGAAAAAACAACATGGACGAGTACAAGGACGAGCATCGCCGCGGATGGGGCAACCGACACAACAGGAGCTAGGCAGCCTGCCACATACACTGCGCCGCACTGCACGCCGGGTGTCACACACCCACCCTGTGTAGCTGCAGTGCCGGAGTAAGGGCGCATGGAGCCCTTTGAACATGCAGTTGATGAACCCTGCTATCATATAAGTTTCAAGCTAAAACATGTTATTCATTCTCTTTAGTGAGGTGAGAACCCTCCTTTAGCCCGGGCCCCATATTACGCGGGCTCGTGCCAATATGTCGGGGCTGGTCCGTCGCTGTCTCCATACTGCTACTCTTGTTTTCAATAATTAATGACTTTATGTTCGACGTGATGTTTGGTTTTTTAATGAATGGCTACACCACATGGGTAGAGGTCAGTGTAGTTTTTATTTAAAAATCAAAAATATTATTACTTGCACATAACCAGTTAGTATTTAGTAGCAGATTATTTAATTAACTTCTGCTGCATGCCTGCTGAAAACGGAGGGCGGTTGACGAATATAAGGTGGCTAATTATGTTTTACCAAGTAAAGTATATGAGTTAAATAATAAAATATAAGTTCTATACTTTGCGGAAAATCAGATATAGATAGGACCGGGCAAAAGGCTGGTTTGCCCATTTGACCCAATGGGAACAAATGAAGCAACGGTGACAGGACGCAAGTTATTATGGTTATGCTGTGATTTCGTTTGGATAACTGACTGATGGAGCTGAAGTTAGCGAGGAATAATGCAGGTGCAAATGATTTTGTGATCATTTGGTCTATGAATAAAGTAGATTTTTGTATAATATCTAATTAATATTAAACCTTTAATAATTATGAATGTGTTTTTGCAGTTTATAATCCGAGTACGTAAAAGTATAGGTTCACTATATGAGTATGCTCAAGCGATAGCACTGCCAATTACCTACAAAAAATAAAAATAATAATGACATCATAATTTTATTAATATATTTTTTTAAATAACAATTTAAAAGGTAACGTTGGCCGAAGTTATTTTAACCTCTTGTCTGTCCATATATGAGACACAATAGAAGACACACTGTTCCTGCGTTCCGACAGGTCACAATCATGTTAATGTATTACAGATCTACGAGATATTGTCAAACTATGTATTAATATGTACTTACACAGTATGATGTATCTTTATTTTTGTGCAAACAATGAAATACGTACAATGTACTAGTACTACATGTCTGCGCCAGTCCACATTGTAACGTTACGTGGACGAGGGCTCGGTCATCCTACTACATTTTCTATTGTCACAATATGTTAAATCCATATCATCATGTAGCGTCTGTCTGTATACCAATAAACAAATTATTGTATTTACTTGCTTATTCACTTTATTTATTCTCTAAGCACCTACACTTGACATTACAAGAAACTGATTGACTGCCTCATTGGCCGAGTGCTCGCAAGTACGACTGCCGGACAAGGGGTCTCGGGTTCGATTCCTGGGTCGGTCAAGTGTTACTGGGTTTTTAAAAAAACCTCAGTAGTAGTAGCACGAAGTCTGGAAATGTGTCCGGTATACGGCAATAGGCTCACCCCCTTTTACATGGGACTCGTAACATAAATAGTGAAAAGTGGGTGTTACATTGTACAGTGTCATAATGTACACCTCTGCCTACCCCTTCGGGGATAAAAGGCGTGATGTTATGTATGGTATGTATTATAGTTGGGTACATCCCCACGGTCATCTTATCGTCATCAGTTTAAATATAAGTTTTATTGATTGTTATCATGATGTTATGTTATGTTATGATAGGATTACAATACAAGGAGTCGGTCAGATCTCTTGGAATGGAAAATATTTAGCCACACGGCGAGTACTTCACTCGCCTTCGTTGCCGACGATATTGTGGACATGGCAGAGTTGTTGGAACAGAGGTGAGTCGCAGGGAGCTGCTGGGGGAAATTAACTATTCTTTTTTCTTAAAGAAAATTATGTCGTAAGATGATGGTTGTCGTATCTGAAAAAAAATGAAATTACATATTGCAATGACTTACTTACTTACTACATAATCTTATGTAATCCCATAAAATCATATATCATGTTTCACATTTCGAAAAAAGTACAATAAGATTCACAAGTTACGGCGCGTGTGAAGTTCGCGCAGAAAACTGCACATAACGTATTTTAGGAACCAAAACGGCGACATGTGCGGGACAGGGATAGGGATCGACTCTTATTATTTATAATATCATTGATCGACTCTAATGAATCAAACACAATCGTTTTATTGTTTAATCAATTTATTTGCGAGTGTACATGCGCGAAAGTGACTTGCGGCTAACCTCACACCCGCTACAGCTCGTGAACCGAACTTATTTCGTACATAAAGTCACTACCTCAAACTGTTGCTTTAGTTATCGACATATCACCTACCTCAACTGTGTTATTTGTATTCGAAAACAAAAATATCGGAGTTGTCTTTCTGCGATGTTCTTTCGACATATCTGTAACTTGTTCGAGGGCTCCGGGTTGTATGTGTGGTAGTGTCGCAAGCCAATCGTTTATCAATGGCCACCAGATGGCTTGGCAAAGGTCAATAGCACCTGCACTTTCACTGCCAACCAGATGAAATGGAAAGTACTCACTACTGACTACTGACACATATATGACAAGCTGCTTTGTCTACGTTTCAATGTAACGACGCTATGATGGACGGGACGCCATGTTTCAACTGTCAAACTGTTTATTGAGGTACATTTCTCTTAGCGATCGTTTGTGTAGATCTATTAGTTGCTGCTGTACCAACTATTAACACGAAGACGTTGATTACTTCTTAAAACTTATACGCGGTCCTATGACAGTTTGGTCCATATTGCGTTATAATATCACGCATGACTTGACTAAGACGGAGGTCTTAAACATCGCTTCCTATTGGTCGTCGGGGAAAACAAGTACCGTCTCTTACCATTTTGCGTTAGTTTTAAGACTTGTCCTCAAAGGACCGCGTTCTTTCACCGTACTTAGTGGAAGCAAACCATTAACAAAGTCATTAAGTGTCCAAGAAGGCAGGCGTCCCTTTCTCCTGGTAACGGGAGCACCACATCGCGGAGTGCGCGGTGGAACGACTTCCGCGCGTCTGTTTATGGGAAGTGGCGCGTGCGTCGACGCGGAAGCTCGCACAGGGACGCGGTAAGTACGTGTCTGTCCGATTGCTACGAACATTATATGGAGGCGGCAGCTGTTAGCTTTGTGGTATTCCTGCTTGTCTTGTTTGTTGGCGTGTGTCAGGTATATTGGGACTTTTTTTTGGTATTTGCTTCGTTTTATCACCAACAAGCTATGACGTCTGGACGGCTGGACTATGTAGACACATTGTGTCTACATGAAGGTGCACCCGCACCTTCATGTAGTCCATTCTTCCATGTATCGCATCCATTCTTCGTGAGCTCTGAGCACAAGGTCGCTGGTTCGGATACAGTTACCTGTTCACTAATCGCGGATATTTGCATCGATTGATACTGAGAGACACCTCGCTTCACTACTTACTAAGCCTTATCTATGTATTGTCATGTTTAAGGGTTAAGCAGGGGGGTGCTTAGATACTCTTAACTTTGGGATTTAGGTTTAAGAAGATACCAAAAGTCATTTGTTAGCCTACTGAATTATTTCTACATAATTACTTCAGTAATGTAAACTTCTCCTCAAATCGTTTTCCTCAGTGCTGAGAGTCGTGCCGTCGTGCCCACCCCTCTGCATCACTACTTGTGGATGATTCATTCCGGTCTCTAGCGGTGTGGAATGGAAGTGCTTCAGTGTAAAGCAAGCTTTTTCCCGATCCTAGCTATGCTTAAACACTCAGTATCTTTTTTTAACTATGAGTATATCATCATCATCATCAACAGCTTATAAATGCCCACTGCTGAGCAAAGCCTCTTCTCACATGGAGAAGGTTAGAGCAATAATCACCACGCTTGCTCAATGCGGGTTGGCGATTTCAAACTTATAATTAGAAATTATAAGCCCAGGTTTCCTCACGATGTTTTCCTTCACCGTTGGTCAGTGGTGTCTAAATAATCTTAGAAAGTACATTTAACTCAGAAAAAGTCACATTGGTACTTGCCGTTGGTAAGTTTCGAACCTGCACCCTCGTGCATGAGAAGCAGGTGTCTTCAACCTCCGGGCCACCACGACACTCTATGAGTATATAAAATATATTATTTGTATTGTACTAGTGAATAGGAAACGGAAGGCAAACATTTGATTAGGTATTGTTATTGTATGTATTCATGTACGTTGATAGCCTTTGTCCAGCGAGCTGGAGTTGATTGCTTGATGGTTACCTTTCACTGCTAGCAATTGGAATCCATTTTGTATTTAATGTACGTTATGTAGCTACCTACTCGCGTGCTTTGTATCTCGTATAATTATCTATAAAAATATTGATTGGCATTTATCTACAACGTATTTTTGAAGGGTCGATTTTTCCTTCGTGGCCTTGGTGATGACCACCTCATTGTTGACCACTTCTCTCTACAACTTCTGCCCTGGGCGCATGCTTGCAACTCTACCTATAGATGGATAATCATTGGCATAAAGTTCTTCCCTTTGCCCTCCAGGTGTTGAGATTCGAATTTATGCACTCTGAAGCGTTTTCTAAGATTTAGCAGATACCTATGTGGTCACACATCATAAAATTTTTTAAGTTAAAGTGGGTAACGACTACCTAAAATTAACTAAAAATCGCGGCTAGTTTCGAACCACAGAGGGGTTCTTCCTCATGAGCATCGTGCGCGGTCGCGGCGATGTCGCGCAGCCTACTACCTACTAGAGCTTTTCTGAATATAATTATGATCACGTGAGTAACCCGCGATTTTTTGGTTAATTTAGTATGTCTCATGATAGTTATTATAAAGACTACCTACACTACAATGTTGTGATTTGATAATAAATAAAGGACTTACAAACGATTGCTACAGAATATTGTTAATCAAGTTAATTGAAGTTGAACCTCACACAGGTGTTACTGTACACTACCGGATCTAGATTCTAGTGCAGCCCTTCGAGACAGATTAC